TGATTCTCTCTCCCTCTCCTTTCCTCTCTGAAATCAATAAAAAATATTTTTTTAAAAAATCCCAGCAGGGAAAAGAAGGGGGAGCAGGGAGAGGAAGATGGAAGGGAGATCTGGGTGGGTGTGGATAAGAGAAATTCAGAGGCAACACACTGGCAAACACTTCCAGTTCCGTCTTCTACCTGGGTGGCCCCAGAGTTTGCATCCTCTTTACTCTCTGACTTGAATGATTAGATGGACAAAATAATTGCCGAACTGGAAGGCAGTATGTTAGCTGATGATAAAGCTAGGGTTAAGAGTGCTCTTCAGCCCTAGCTGGTTTGGCTCAGTGGATAGAGCATCAGTCTGCAGACTGAAGGTCCCGGGTTCGATTCCGGTCAAGGGCACATGCTCGGGTTGCGGGCTTGATCCCCAGTGGAGGGTGTGCAGGAGGCAGCTGATCAATGACTCTCTCTCATCATTGATGTTTCTATATCTCTCTCCCTCTCCCTTCCTCTCTGAAATCAATAAAAAAAAGCATATTTTAAAAAAAGAGTGCTCTTCAGATTGGAATCCTTTGGAAAAATGGATCATGTTTGCTATTGACAAAATGATAGAGGAATGAGAACACTAGCAAGCTAGCAAGAGCGTGCATTATGAAGGCTTCCTGGAGGGTAGCTTGGTATCGTGTATCCAAACAAAGAATGTGTGTATCCTCTGTCAGACACCACACTTCTTGGGATTTATCCTAAACCGAAGGAAATGATCAAGCCAGTGCATACAAATATTTACATAAGATGTTCATCACAGAGTCTGTAAAAATAAAAATTAAACCCTTCACTTCACCAAAAAAGAAATGGTAAACTAAATTCTGGCATAACCATGCGGTGGTATACGATGAAGCTATACTCAAAAAATAGGATGTAGATATAAAATTGACATGCATGGATGCGCACCACGTATTAGCTAGAACAAGAAGGCTCCAAAGGAAATAGATTCAGAGGCAAAGAAGCATCGAACAGACTGTCAAACTACAGCAGGAAGGCAGAGGACGGTTGGGGGGGGAGGGGGCAGGGGGTAGGTAAGAGATCAACCGAAGGGCTTGTATGCACGCATATAAGCATAACCAATAGACACAAGACTCTGGGGGAGGTGGTGAGGGCATGTGCTGGTGGTGAGGGCATGTGCTGGGGGCGGGGGGTAGGAGAGGCGAGTGGGGGCAGGTCAATGGGGAAAAAAGGAGACATATGTACTACTATTTGTAATACTTTAAACAATAAAATAAAATTTAAAAAAATAAAACGGCTCCAAAGAAAGACGCATATTATCTCATTTATGTTCATCTGCATGTAAGAATTTTTGCTAATATATACACCAGAATCTTAACAGTGATTCATCTTTGAATGGTGGGATTACAAATTGTATCAGTCAGTTTAGTTTCAGTTATGCTGCGGTAATAAACAACCCAAAAAATCCACTGGCTTCCAATAGTGAATTGGAATTTCTCATCCCTGCTCAAGTCTCCAAGGCCGACTGCTCCTCTGCCCAACATCTTAACTCGAGGACCCAGGCTGACCACACAATCTCTGTCTGAACACTGCAGGTCTCTGTGGCAGAGAGAGGTGGGCCACCTACTGGCTCTTACAGTCAGTGTAGGCAAGTCTCTTGGTCCTTCCCAGGTTCAACAGGGCAGGGATAGATGATGCCCCACAGGCCCTCAGGAAGGGCACTCGAGGAAGGATGGCAAACATTTGAATAATAATACAACCTACTAAAGTTATTCATCCTTGTCTTAGTCCAGTTGGGCCGCTGTAACAAAAATACCATAGACTGGGCGGCTTAAACAACAGACATTTATTTTTCTCACAGTTTTGAAGGCTGGGAAGTTCAAGAGCAAGGCACCAGCAGATTCGGTGCCTTCTCCCCATGTCATCACAGGAGGTTAGGGAGCTCTCTGAGGTCTTGTTTCATAAAGGGCACTAATCTCATTCACGAGGGCTCCATCCTCATGACCTAATCGCCTGCCAAAGCTCCACCTTCCAAAACATCAGCTCGGGGATGAGGTCTCCACATATGAATTCTGGGGGCACAGACATTCAGTCTCTAGCAACTGTATTATGTAAGCCTTTTTCTTTGCAAAAATAGGGTCCTGTCCCAGGAAGTGGATGGTCACATGGAGATGGGACATGTGGGTTCTCACTGTTCAAGCCTCTTCAGGGGAGAAAACATAGACACCGAGTCTGAGCTACCCAGCACCACACTGAGATGGCAGCTTCAAGCCTGAGGCATAGGGGCCGGAGACAGGTCAGGAATTTAACACATTGTGGACGGATCACGAAAATTCTCGCTTCATATTACACAGTGTTTTACAAAGTATCATACTTTAAAAAGATATTAGCTTGTAAGAACATGTAATAAATAACCTCAAAATGTAATGGGTATTTTAAAGCGTGGCTTTAACATTTACGTAAAACGTGTGTTTTTTTTAAATATATTTTATTGATTTTTCACAGAGAGGAAGGGAGAGGGATAGAGTTAGAAACATCAATGAGAGAGAAACATCGATCAGCTGCCTCCTGCACACCCCCAACTGGGGATGTGCCCGCAACCCAGGTACATGCCCTTGACCGGAATCGAACCTGGGACCTTTCACTCTGCAGGCCGACGCTCTATCCACTGAGCCAAACCGGTTAGGGCGTAAAACGTGTTTTTTTGTACTCGTTCAATAGAAACTTATCTGGCCACTGGGTAAAGCTAGCAATAAAACTACTGGTCCGCCATGTGTCAAGAGACAGGTCAGTCGACCCAGACCCACAGTTAAGTATAAGGTGATGATGTAACACAAAGTTCTGGACGCCCAGAAGTATTATGCCAGGTCTGCTGCTTCCTACTTATATGACTTGGGTCAAGTGAGAGAGCCTCTTTGAATATAAAATGGCAATTATAATAGCTGCCCTGCCGCCTGCACACTACTTGGTCGGGGGCGGGGTGGTTCAATCTCTAAAATTGTTAGTGCTCTTGTACGAGGAAGGTTTGCTCTTTCAAGCTGTAACCATCACACTGACACACATTACATCTCCCCGTCTCCTCTCACCACCAAAGTAGCTCATTCACCTCTTAACTGTGTTCGTGTGCTTTTCAGGAGGGCGGGTGAGAAATGACAATGGAAGTCTCACTGTGGAGGACCCCTTGGAGGAACGAGGCCTGGAAGGCCTGGATGCAGAGGGAAGTAGCCGTGTCCCCGACGTCCCTCCTGACCCCGGCCTCTGAGGATGGAAGGCAGGGCTCCCCACACAGGCCTGATCCCTAGAGCCATTCAGGAAGCATTTAAAAACTAGATTCCTGGGCTCCACCTCCAGGAGATTCTGACTCACCTGGGGAGGGTGGGACCGGGCTGAGTCACGGAAGCTGATCCGTGCCACCCCCACCGGGCCCTGGCTCCTGTCCAGGCCTAGTGAGCAGGGAGGGCCTGGGTGTCTCAGGTGGCAGGAGCCTGGCCACGGGGAGAAACCTGAGTGGGCCCAGGTTATCTGATGGTGCACCTGCTCCGGCCCCGTGCTCACTTCTTGAATATCAAGATCAGGGGAAGGCTTGGGAAGAGGCTCCCCTGGGCAGCACGGTCACCCCACAAGTCTTCCCAGGGCCAGAGGAGGTGGAAGAAAAGGGTATTCCCCCTTTCTGCCCCCAGCCCCTCCGAACCAGACGCGTGGCAGGCTTCCCCAGTCCACCTGCACAGCCTCACTGATAACCCTGAAATGTATCTCTCTACACATCTGTCAACACGGTGGCGAGTTCCTCACGGGCGGGGACAGGTCTTGTTCCTCTCTGCGTGCCCAGCACAGTGCCTGGCACACCAGTAGTGCCTGCTGAATATTTCATGAATAAATGAGAAGTCGTAACACTTACCACGTTACCACAGGTTCACAGAAGGACTGATATTCACACCCACTAGGCACACGGGAAATGCACGTGCTCACCTCGGAGGGGTGGGGAACCCCATCCTTAGTCACCCAGCTAGAGGCTGAGCTGAGCACGCCCCGATTTGCGGCAGGACTGAATTCCTTCGGGCATCACAGTAACCCTTTGATATGATGTTAGGAAGCCTTGGCACAGGAAAATGCCTTTCTCTCTCACACGCGCACGCGCACGCACACACCCTGCATACAATCTCTAGGCTAAGAGTGTCAGCCCTCCAAAAGGGGGAAGCTCTTTTGATATGGATGGATGCCCGTTGATGAATGTAGATGGGATGACAGAGTCAGAAACTAACATTTTGCAACCCTCAATCTAATCGTGGCTGTGGGCAAGGATACCTGACGGATGCTAAAACCACTGGGTAAATAATTGCCGGGGAACAGGAAGAAATCTCAGCCTAGACTAAGTCTCTAGCCCCCAAGTCAGAATTCCCCGCTCCACAAAGGAGCCCAGACAAAGGAGAGGACCACAGTCAAGACAGGCTCCAGAGGGTCTCGTTAGGCTTCTTACATACAACCGGGCGGCCATTTCTGCACGTGAAAGGCCAGGGGAGGATCGGCAGGCTCTGGGTCTTTTCTGAATTCTTCTTCCCTCCCTCTTCCCTGCTTGCCCCCGCCCCCCCTTTTCTCACAGGGAAAGGCTGCAGGGAGAGGGAACTGGGGAGGAAACTCAGGAAGGTCTCTGAGGCTCCTGACACCCCAAACATATCCTGGCTGCCAAAAGAGAAGTGGTGGGGCTTGCTCTGATCTTGCCCACTGTTGTCAGAGTCCAGTAGGCAGGCCCTGTGCTGGATACACACAGGGGTCAGCCAGCATCGCTCAGCCCCTTCTAGGTCCTGCCCTGCATTGTAGGGGCTGGAAGCCTGAGAGCTGGGTCCCTCAGAAGCTCTTGACAGCCAGGAGTTACTTTAGAGACCACCAGTGAGAGGCACTCGCAGACACCACGACTCCTGCCCTGGCAGCGGTGGGCACACTGGATGCCAGTTCCCAGACCTCGGACAGGGGTCCTCCCATCCATCTCACTGCAGGTGGTCCCCTGGGGATGCCAGGGCTGGGCAGTGATGAGAGCTGAGATGTCTGTAAGTGTCAGTCCAGCCCCAAGCCCACCCAGGACTCTGTCCTGGAAAGCAGGGACATCCGTCACCCTCCTGGCACAGGGGAGGGGGTTTTCTGCTGCCAGGCCTCTTGGAGTCGAGGTAGAAGGGTCAACAACAGCGAGTCCAGCACAGCCAGACCTTCCCAGGAACACCGAAGACCCCTAGAAAACCAAGAGGCCTGGCTGTGGCTGCCTCCTCTCACCGTCTACCAGGGCCAACGGCACCCACAGGCCCTTCCTCATCAGCGTTGCTAACTTTTCCCAGGTGTGTGGTCGGTAGTCAGGGCTCCCTGCGACTTCTAACCACCCTCCCACCGCCAGCACACCTGTGATCCAGCAGCAGCAAGCCCTGATCCAGCAGCCTGTTCACCTCCTCGCTTGCTCCAAACACATCCCCCAGGGTCAGCTGGGGCTCAAACTGCTGCCAGTGCTGGGGAGACCAGAAGGGTCAGAGGTGTGGGGGTCCTCTGGGCCATGTGTCTGGGGTGGGGTAAGGGGTGAGGGAGGGTACAGTCCAGCACAGGGATCTCAGCCAACTGACTCTCATGCACACCAGGCCCAGGCCGACGGGCCAGCAGGGATGTGGTCACCTGCACTCCTCCACGTTTAGGCAGAAAGCCAGGTCTCCCTCGATTCACCTCCCCACCCCCACCCCCTGCTGCTCAGGATATGGCCAGGGCTTTCTAGCCCTGACTTCATCCAGAGCAGCTTGAGTTGGACTGATGGTTTACTGCACTTCCTATCTGAGCGTTCAGTGCTACATCTGAAGCCCTTAATCTAGTCTATTCCCCGCACAGCTGCGCAAACGGAGGTTCAGAGAGGTGAGAGGATGTGTGCTCAAGGGTGCAGGAGAAGGGGCCTAGAGCCTGGGTCTCTGCAGCCCTCGTCCAGAGTCCTCACCATTGCACCACACTGCCCACCAGGCCTCAGCTGGACTAAAGCCCAACCTCCAGCTGCCAGAGGGATGGGAGGTGTGTGTGTGTGTGTGTGTGTGTGTGTGTGTGTGTGTGTGTGTGAAATGATTATGCACGGCTTAGGAGGAAGCCGTGTGCCGGAGCCCCTGGACCCCTTACCTGGTGAGTGATCCCTACGTCTGTGCGTAGCCCCATCGCCAAAACCTCCTCCAGCCTGAAAGGAAAACCATCAAGGGGTCTTGGAGAGGAGACTTGTGCTTCTCCCAGCCTTCAAGCCCTATGCTGGGGGTGCGTATGGGGGGCTTAGGAGGACCATGCAGTATGGGCCAAGGCAAGAAATGACAAGGTGCACGTGGAGGTGGTTCTGGGGCCGCAGGGGAACCCGGGGGAGGCGCCCTGTGCCCTCAGATGCTCACAGCTCCAGCTCGCCCAGGGAGACGCGCTTCCGGGTGCCGTGACCGAACAGCTTCACCTCCTTCATCCAGTTGTCAGGCTCCAGGGTCTGGATCCGAGCCTCCCGTGCCAGGCCCCCGGCCCCCTGGGGCACAAATCGCCCATGGGCCCCTGACAACATCAACAACCACACCCACTCTCATGCCAGCGAACACGGCGTGCCTGCCAGATGTCATCAGTGGTTCTCAAAGTGGGATCCCCGGACCACAGCGTCGAATATGCTAGAAACCTACATTTGTGGGCCTTACTCCCGCCCTGTGCAACCAGAAATTCTGGAGGTGGGGCCCAGCCATCTGGGTTTTAACAGGCCTTCCAGGTAACTCTGGCGTGTGCTACAGGCCGAGAACTTCGGTGCCAGGCACCATCAAGCACCTCAAAATACACACTCAACGGCATCCCTTTTTGCCTCGCCGTACATATAAGAAAACAGAGGTCAATAAGCGGCCCGAGATCACACAACCGTGACATTCCACTCCTGAGCCACCCCTCCTACGGTTCACGGGGACTCACCAGGCCCAACGCCAATGTACTGGCCGCACTGCCAGTACGTCCAATTGTGGGTACTAAGCGCCCCCTGTGGGGAGGGAGGGAACAGTCAGGGCCGAGCAAAGCTGGCAGCCCTGTAGCAGCTCAGGCAAGGGGAACCCGGTTAAAAGGTGCCCCCACCTCAGACCTCGAGGACCCCGCTGAGACCCTTCTCCCCACAGGGCCACCTTCCCAGGGCCCACTCCCCACCGTCAGCCATAAGCCCCAGGACTCACATGCCGAGCAAAGTTGGAGACCTCGTACTGGCGGAAGCCGGCCTCCCGAAGGAGTGCCCGTCCCTCCTGGTACATCTCGGCAGCGCGCTCGGGGTCCGGGGCAGGAAGGGCACCCCGCTGCACCCGGGTGAAGAGGGCCGTGCCCCGCTCCAGGGACAGCTGGTAGAGGGAGACGTGGTCGTCACAGCGGCGCAGCAGTTCCTCCAGCTGCCGGAGCCAGGGTCCCACCTGCTGGGCCGGCAGCCCCAGCATCAGGTCCACGGATACGCGCCCGGGGAACAGGCGCCGGGCCTCTGCCAGTGTCTGCAGAGCATCGCTGGCCGAGTGTGTCCGCCCCAGCAGCTGCAGCTCAGTGTCATCCAGGGACTGGGGAGAGAGGCTCTGTAAGCGCACAGGCCGGCTCAGGGAGAGACCAAACCACTTGACTGACTTACTGTCGACCAGGGGTGGGGAACCTTTCTGCTGCCAAGGGCCATTTGGATATTTATAACATCGTTCACGGGCCATGCAAAAATGATCAACTTAAAAATTAGCCTGCTATATTTGGTCGAATATGTAATTCACTCACCCCTAATGCCTGGGCAGGGCCAGACCAAATACCGAGGGCATACCATTCACTGAAGGGTCGCGCACTATGTGCCAAGCTTTTTTATGCAACGTCTAATTCATCCTTATAACCCTCCAACGTTCGCTCCAAATTTACACGAGAAAACTGATGTTCAGAGATGTTAAGTCACGTGCCCAAGGTCACACAGTGGCAAAGGCAGACCTGGAATTTGGGACTGCCTGGCCCCAAAGCCAAGAGTCTTTCTTAATTTTATTTGGAACCTATAGAATATTTCAAACCTATAGAAACGTTAAAAAAAAAGTCAATGAACACCATCTAGATTCACAGACTCACATTTTGCCACATTTGCTTTGTCTCTATAAATACACACACATATTATGATGACGTTGACCCACTGGAGAGTAATTTACAGACCAGCACTACGGAAATGTTCTCTACCTGCACTGTCCAATGCAGTAGGTGCTCACACATGTGGCGATTTAAACTTTAAGATAATTAAATTTAAATAATCACATTCCAAGTGTCTACTGGCATTTGGTCAGTGCGGCTATAGAACATGTTAGTAGAGGATGGTAGCCACCGGCCACACACTAGTGAGCATTTGCAAATGGGTTATTTAAATGTAATCAACTTAAATATTGTACCCTTTCACCCCTAAATAGTTAAGTGTGTACTTCCTAACAACAAGGACATTCTCTTACATAACCACAAGCCAATTACAGAGTTCAGGAAATGTAACATTGACACAATGCCATTATCTAATACACAGTCATATTCAAATTTGGCCAGCTGTCCCAATAATGCCTACTGTAGTAATTTCCTCTTCCCACCCCACTCTAGGACCCAATCAGGGGTCACACATTGCACTCAGCTGTCATTGTCTCATCCGTTGCCTTTAGTCTAGATCAGTGATGGCGAACCTATGACACGCGTTTCAGAGGTGACATGCGCATTCATTTTTTTGGTTGATTTTTCTTTGTTAAATGGCATTTAAATATATAAAATAAATATCAAAAATATAAGTCTTTGTTTTACTATGGTTGCAAATATCAAAAAATTTCTATATGTGACACGGCACCAGAGTTAAGTTAGGGTTTTTCAAAATGCTGACACGCCGAGCTCAAAAGGTTCGCCATCACTGGTCTAGATCCTTTAACCTTCCTATATCTTTCATGATATTGACATTTTTTGAAGAGTATGGGCCAGGTATTTTTCAAAATATTGTTTAATGAAGAAATTCTAGCTATCTGCTGTTCACCACTGCCCTAACAGTTAACAAATTTTTACAGTATACTGTATACTAAAAAATTTGATGAGGTTAGATCAACCTCATGCTATCGGTTCTTACCACACATACAAAAAGCCTTTTTCCTTTTAATTTTCTTATTGACACATCGATTTGTTGTTCCACTTATTTATGCATTCACTGGTTGATCCTTGTATGTGCCCAGACTGGGGACTGAACCCACAACCTTGGCGTATCAGGACGGCACTCTAACCAACTGAGCTACCCAGCCACGGCAAAAAGTCTCTTAACTTAGGTTTCTTTACCATTAGAGTCCAGAGAGGCATGCATCTGGGGCCACACTATCTCAGCAATGACGTGTCCCTTTCAGTATATCCCATGACAGCAAGGCTCTGACCCCAAACCCTATGGTAAGTGGTGCACGTATTAGAAGTGGAGAAAGCAATACTGCATATGAAAACACGAGAGGCCAACCTGAGAGGATTCTATTTCTCCTACTTCAACACCTTCAGTGGCTCCCCCGTAAACCACTAGGCAAACCCAAACTCGCTGGTATGGTGCTGAAGGCTTCCTTGCCTCCAGCCTCTCGTCACAAGGAATGACTCGTAGCTCCCCCAAAACATGCAAGGCTCCTCTATATCCTGTGCTTTCCCTCCCACACCCTCTCCCCTGGTGGACTCCTCCTCCTCATTCAAACATCACCAGTCTGGGAGGGCTTCTATGATTTCATCAGACGAAGATGCCCTTCAGTCTGTACTCTGAAAGCCTTTTGTAGAGACCGCCCCCCCACCTTTACCATGCTGCAAAGAGCTGACCACCTGCTTGCCTCCTGCTGTGTCTCCGATCATGTAACAAATCTTTTCTGAGCACCTACTATGTGCCAGGCACTATGGAGGGTGTTTGGAGCACTGTGGTCTGGCACAGAAGGCGACACCAGCATAGTTACAAAAGCGTCACCAAACACTCTTCAGTACCTACTAGGCCTTGGCACCCAGAAGGGGCTCAATAAATGTTTGTCCAAGCACGAAGGGGCCTAGAGAGTGTCATGCTAAGTGAAATAAGTCAGTCAGAGAAAGACAAGTATCACATGATCTCACTCACATGTGGAATCTAAAAATAAACTGATGAACGGAGTGGATCCAGAGACAAGGAAGCATGGAACAGAGTGTGGAATCTCAGAGGAAAGGCAGGGGAGAGTGGGTGGGTGGGAGGTAATCAACCAAAGACCTTATATGCATAAATGCAGAACCCATGGACACAGACAATGGGGTGCTGAAGGCCTGGGGCTGGAGGGGGTCAATGGGGGGAAAAGGGAGACATATATAATACTTTCAACAATAAAGAATTGTTTTTAAAAATAAATTAGTAAATGTTTGTCCAATAAACGAATGTGACCAGTGGAGAGACAGCACGGAAGGGCTGGGTGCCCTGGGACAGGGTGGACTGATTGGTTACCTGGAGGCCAATGGACAGCCTGTTGACTCCTGCTGCCCCAAATGCTGCCAACCTAGAGGCTGGGGCAGAAGTGGGGTTCACCTCCAACGTGACTTCGGAGTCTGCGGGCAGGTGAGCTGTCTGGGCCACTGCCTCCAGGACAGCAGCCACAGTGTGGGGACTGGCCAGACTCGGGGTGCCTCCGCCAAAGAACACAGACTCCACCCTGGGTAAAGAAGATAAAGAACATGAGGCCTGGGGGAGCCCTCCAGGAGGCCTGCAGCACTCGACCTATCCACGCCCTCCAAGCCCTGCCTCCTGCCCCCCAGTACCCACCGCTGCACCCCGCTGAGCCGCAGCAGTGTCTGGGCCTCCGTCACCAGGCAGCTCCGCATGGCAGCCTCGTCCACGCCGCGGGGGATGTACTTATTGAAGTTGCAGTAACTGCAGCGCTTCTCGCAGTAGGGCCACTGGGGGCGAGGGGTGTTTGAGGGGGTGAGAGGGGCTCCGGGCTGCCCTGGCCCCTTCCGGGGTTCAGCTGCACACATTCCCAACCCCAGTCCAGGTCTGTACGCCATCTGAGCCACGCAACTCCCGAAGACTGGGATCATGCCCACTTCAATAAGACAAAACTGGGGTTCAGAAGGGGAGCCACAAGGTCAAGGGTCAGTCACCGCGCTGGTGAGCACCGGAGACCTCAGGTCCCCGGGCACGGACATTTCCCTGCCAGGGCAGGGTCCTAGCCAAGACCTCGCCCGGGAGCGAGGAAGGTCGGCGGGTGGGTTCACGCGTGACAAGTCGCCCTGTGGACTCCGGCCCTGCCTCCTCCTCCCCACTCACGTGGACGTAAAGTGCGGCGCGCTGGCTCCGGGCCACGGGA